ACATGAGTTTATGGTCTCAATCTCTAGTTTCAAGTCTTCTTCAATACGTGAGAAGACATCCAGAACATTTTGTTCATTTTCCTTTTTGCAGACGCTGCGTTCGGCCGGTAAGACCTACATGGTGTTCTTCGTGGTGGTGATCTTCTTGGGCTCCTTCTACCTGGTCAACCTCATCCTGGCCGTGGTGGCCATGGCGTACGAGGAGCAGAACCAGGCCACCATCGCCGAGGCCAGCCAGAAAGAGCGGGAGTTTCAGATTGCAATGGAGATGCTGAAGAAGGAGCAGCAGGTAAACTGATTAAACGGACATCTATTTGTAAATTCTTCTTTTGTCTACTGGCTCGACTACGTTTTAAAGAAACGCTCTGAATCTTTTTTTTTTTCACCAGGTTGCCGCCCAGAAACTCCTCGACTCGGACTCCATAATGTCACCAGATCTCTCCCCGTTCGGTCTGCCATTGGACGGCGTGGAGGAGCAGAGGCGGAGTCAGGCGCTGGTGGGAGTGGCCGACGTGGAGGCGAACCAATCGGAGGAGAAGCTGCTACAGGTGGACATGACGGACGGGGGAAAGGTGAGGAAAGACGAATCTGTGGTATTATGGTTTATTTAGACGTCACGCAGTCAGAGTAACGTTATCTACGTCCTCCTCCAGCCTCTCCACCCTCTCCTCGCTCGCTCCTTCTCCTCGAGGACTCGGCGAAGCAGCCAGGTCTCCTCCATCTTCAACTTCCGTCTGAGGAGCCGGGGGTCGGAGGGAGAGATGGCCGACGACGAGTACAGCGTCCCGGGCGACGTGGTGGAGGGCGTCGGGGGTCGGACCTACAGCGGCGGGACCTTCAGCGGCATCCTGCCTCACCCGTGGCCCAAACGAAGACTGAGCACCTACAGCAACGCCAGCAGGAACTCCCAGGTGAGAGGACGGGAGGAGGCCGGGAAACGTAGAGGCTGAGGGAGTGAATGAGAAGAGAGTAGAGTTACGAGATTAAATGAAGTGAGATGAAACGAGATTAAATGAGATAAAGTCAGACGAGATATTTTGATGCTAATACAAATGAGAGTAGATACTTGTAATGAGATATTATGACGTTGGAGATTATATAACATGACAGCATGAATTAGATTTTGTTAAATGAGATGAAATTAGATGAGTTTGGATGAAAAGGTTTAAGATGAGTGATAAAACTGATATTATATTAGATGAGGTCCGATAGAATAGAACGTCCCCTCAGGAGTTATTCTGTAGATTGAGTCAAAGAAAATATATTAAACCAAATAGTTTGATCAAAGAAAATATATCTGCGGAGTTCATAAGAGGTCTTCACACACATTCATATCTCGTGTGTGTGTGTGTGTGTGTGTGTGTGTGTGTGTGTGTGTGTGTGTGTGTGTGT